ACACACACACACACACACACACACACACAAACACACACAAACACACACAAACACACAGTGTTGGGAAAGAACTAGAATTAGAATTTCTTCTGTGGAGAAATTCTAATTAGATTAGCATTTAGTGGCACGGAAAAATGGTTCCTCAGTCTGTCTAATATGGAGAGATACTTTTCTGTTCTTCCCCAGGGAACTCTCTGCGAAGACTGGATGGCAGTTCATTGCTGCTGGCCTTGTGCAGTCTGTCAAATGGCTCGAGAAATGAGGATAAGATCTCTGTTCCAGGTCTACAAAATGCACCTATCCTCTCCTCCTCTTCTGGCCAAAGATACACTTGTTTAAAACCGCTCTCCCCTTCATCTCCAGAGGCCCCTTTAAAGGCAAAAAGATGTTCCGTGTTCTCTTCACTCCAGCCGCAGTAGTTCGAAGTGCCATCAGGCCTCTGGAGTTTGGCACCACAATATATGTAGTCAGTTCTGTTTGTTTGCATCGTATTTATCCATATGGCTTTATCCATCTGCATTGTCAGGACGCCTGAAGCATCCTGACATTTCCCCCTGTCTCAGGAAGCAGGGCTCAGTTTTCAAGCGCAAGGAGTTAAATTCACTTACTGTAGGTTTTCTTCTTCCATCCTTGCACATCCCTGCAGGCAATTATGCTTGACAGATGATCAAAAGCAAACTCTCCACTTCTGACAATTTACTAACTAATCATCAGCAGATGAGTTTAAATGATGCTCATCATGAACTCGGGTTAGTGTTTGTGAATCAGGCTGTTTGTTTCCGAAATGAGGCGCATACTTCATTCTGGCCAACCTTTTGTTCTGCTTCCAAGAATCAGATGTGGACATACTCATACTCCCTGCCTAGGATACACTTTCGTGAAACAACCAGAGGTTCCAGCAATGTGCAAATCTTTAGGGCAGGAGCCCACAATCTTGGGGTGCAAATGGCATATTAGACATGCGGGTTCTCTTCCAAAAATGGCTGCAGGGCATCAGCTTATTCACAGATTGGATGAAGTAAGTGCCATGACTTCACCTATTAAAAGCATCTATTTATCAGCATTTTCCTTTGTCCTTTTCTGGGGAAAGGGGGATACTTCTAAACACAACCCTAGAATGCATCCAACTATCTCTTTTGTTTTCGAAAACCGACTATGAGGTTCATGGGGGGAAGGGGTTTGAGCTATTCAAGTTTTTCTTTCTTTTTTGCTAATGAAAACACACACACACACATGGCACTGCAAGCTTGGCAAGTATCAAAGGAAGTTTCTGCATGATCACTGAGGGTGGTGGGTGGTGGTGACGAGGCTGGCATTACTTTGGGAACCCAAGTTTCGGGAAGATTATACGTCAATGACATGGCAAATTGGGTAGCCCTGTTTGGAATTATTTTTCTGAATATCAGAGGCAGTTTGCCGCATTGAAACAGGCTGCAAAGCTATACGTGGCTTTTAGTACTAAGGAGTAGGAATGGGATGTTGATATGCCCCTAAGGATGGATTATGGATTGAAAGTTATTTTCTGCTATGTAAGAAAAGAAGGCCATTCTGATTTCATTAAGAAGGTCCTCATTTTGCCAGCAGCTAAAGTTTTTTTTTCTTTTTAAATGGGAAGACTTTTGTTATCAACGTTAGCATCATTCCAATGAGCCTTTTGTCCAGTAAGTAATTTTTACTGAAAATCAATTAAGCAATCCATCAATACTACTTTGGTTTCATAGCAATTAGATTTTTGGTTATTCCAACATGATGATACGTATCCCCAGCTTGGTGGATGATGCCATTATAAATTCCATCTACATTTTGAACAGAGAGGACCACTGGTTTGAAAGAGGGGGTCAAAGAGGTCATCTATGTCAAAATTGAACAGCCCTCTCTCAATAGAAAGGGAGAGACATGATATCCTCTATCTCCAGTCTACAACACAGCAGTTCTAAGAGACTCCACACCCATTTGCACTAAAGTGACCCTGAAGATACATATAAACCTCCAGGTGGCCTCAACTACTCTAAAAGAATTTAAATGAACAGCTGTCTGCAAGCAATATAACTTCTTCCATTCCCCACCATCCAGTCAGAGCTTCTTGGATGAGAAGTGAAACATTCTCAAAGAAAAACAAGAAAGTCCAGTTGCCTCTTGAAAAAGCATCCTTGGGATATAAATTCCATCATTTCCTTGTGGTTTTAGAAGAAGTGAAAAAGAGAAGAAGTTCTTTAACAGTCACTCAACACATTAATCCAGAGATAGCCATTATCGCATAAAACAATGAATTGGAATGACCTTTCGCACCTTCCTCCAAGGAATTCTACTAGCATGAATACTATTTATATGGAGATCAATAGCTGCAGCTTCAACTTTCTCTAACTTGGAAGCAAGCTGACTAGAGCAAGGCACTTCCTGAAGCCCCTCTTCTGAGGAGGCCAGCTACCCTTATTCTGCTATGTGTAAAGAGTTCCGAGAAGTAGACAGTGGCAGCCAAGCTTTCATCCTGCTGGGTAGAGTTTGAAGCCATCTTCTCCACCTTGCATGGCAACAGTTGCCTGGAAAGATGATGGGAAGGGGTATCACCCAAAGCAGGGAGCTTCACACAGGGTTGGTTCTTCTTGTAGGGAGATTCCTGACCTTGTGGATGCTCCATCACTGGATGTTTTAAAGAAGAGACTGGACAATCATTTGTCAGGAATGGTATAGGGCCTCCTGCTTGAGCAGGGGGTTGGACTAAAAGACCTCCAAGGTCTCTTCCAACTCTGTTACTCTGTATTCTATGTATGGGTAGGCAAAAAGGTTGAAGGGTGAGAAGTCATCAACTGTAGAATTCTGACTCCTATGGGAATCAGGAGCGAAGGAAACAGTGTTGCACCTAATGGATGAGTAAACAATGCAAGGCCAGGAAGGTCAGGACCTTGGAGATCTTCTAGCCCAACCCCCTGCTCAAGCATGAGGCCTTATTCCATTCCTGACAAATGGTTGTCCAGTCTCTTCTTAAAAACATCCAGTGATGGAGCACCCACAACTTCCAGCCATTCCATTGATCAATTGTTCCCACTGTTGGGACATTTCTCCTTAGTTCTAGATTGGATCTCTCTTTGATACATTTCCATCCATTACTACTTGTCCTGCCTTCAGGTGCTCTGAAAAATAGGTCAACCCTGTCTGTGACTGTTGTCTTCTCTGCACTATTTCTAGAGTCTCAAAATCTTTTGTGTGTTGTGCTGACCAAAACCAGATACAGTTTTCCAAGTTTGGTCTTACTAGTGCAGTATAAAGTGGTACTATTTCTCGTGATCTTGATACTATCCCTCTGTTGGTGCAACCTAGGACTGCATTGGGTTTTATATTTAAATAATTTTTAATTGACATTTTTGACCTGCCTCAGATTTGATTGCGATGCCCTCCCGCAAATCCATGCACTATGCTCAATCTACTAAAAATAATTTTGAATAAGTATCCTGATTCTTTATGACTTAGTGTAAGGCATAAACTAAGGCTGTTAGACGTTCTTTCCATCTAGGATATGAACATTACATGAAGTAGACTTTCTTCTCTGTGTAACATAAATCTCCCATATGATAAATTTGACACTTCCTCATCAGGTTAACATAGAATGACATTTTGCAAGGTTTAGTTAAATTCAGCATGTAGTCTCTTTAGTTAGATCAACATTATTTTTTGCAAGTTTCCGGGAGTCTAATTAGGAATGACATTAAGCATGTGGTTTGCCTTTGCATTTTTTCCTCAGTAGATAGCAACTGATGAACACTTGGGACATTTCTGTGGGAATAATTTGACTCAGATCCATAGGGGGGCAGCTGCAAAGCAAAGCAACAAGAGCTTTGCTTCACTGCATATACCCTAGCTTGCCTTGAGGATCTCAAGAGGGCCACAGCTATGCAGTTGCTTCATGACTTGGTGGATCAAATCTCACAGGCCTTCTGATCAAGTTCATGGGATATGCAGATAGCAGCCTTAACTCTTCCTTCTGATACTGTGATCTTAATAAACTTTACTCCTCCCAGAGGTATTTTAGACTGGAAGAAAGTTCCTCTTAGTGTGAACCATTCTGTTTCTTTTTCTTTTTGGGTGTCCTCAAGTCAGTGTTGGCTCCTGGTGACTGTCTGGACAAGTCCCTGTAATTTTATTGGTAAGAGTCAAGAAGTAGTTTGCTATGACTTGCTTTCTAGGGCTGAGAGAGAGGGGACTGGCCCCAGGTCACCCAACTGGCTTTGTGTTGACGATGGGACTGGAACTCTTGGTCTCCTGGTTTATAGACTGGTATTTTTAACCAGTATGCCAAATTGGCTTCATTGAACAATCCTACTGCATTATTATGGTTTGTCACACAGTTAGTCAGATGGTCAGACTGGATTTGGCATTTTTATCCACAAATCAAGTCTTCCCCTAGGATCCGGAATAGGTAGATATTGATATTGGATGGTGTTAGTGGTGTTGTCGCAGGATGTAAGCTGTTCCGAGTAAAGCTACCTTTTGTAATTGACTGATGGTGAACTTGTCAATGCCAATGATGTTCAGGTGGTGCTTTGGTTGTTTTAGGATTGCACCCAAAGCACCTATTACTATTGGTCATTTTATTTCTATCAGCAAAACTTTGTATTTTGTGACACCCCACCCTCCCCCCAGTTTTTTTCTTCTTTTTGGCTGCCATGTCCACTACCCAGGATTTTTTTTTTGGTTAACAATTGTTAAATCTGTGGTGTTATGTGGCAGGTACTTGTCTATTTTGTTTCACGCACATGACATATGACTGACACACACACAGCATGATCACACTCCTGTTGATCTTCTGGATCTTGGAGTCTTAGTGGACAAACAGTTAAATATGAGCTAGCAGGGTGCAGTGGCAGCCAAGAAAAGCCAATGCAATTCTAATTTGCAGTAACAGAAGTATACAATCAAGATCAAGTGAGGTACTAATACCACTCTATAAAGCCTTAGTAAGACCACACCTAGAATACTGTATCCAGTTTTGGTCACCACATTATGAAAAAGATGTTGAGACTTTAGAAAATAGAAAAAGTTCAGAGAAGAGCAACAGAGATTATTAGGGGACTGGAGACTAAAACATACGAAGAACAGTTGCAAGAATTGGGCATGGCTAGTCTAGTGAAGAGAAGGACCAGGGGAGACATGATAGCAGTGTTCCAATATGTGAAGGGCCATCACAGAGAGGAGGGGAATTGACCTGTTTTCCAAAGCACCTGAAGGCCAGACAAGGAATAATGGATGGAAGCTGATCAAGGACAGATTCAACCTAGAAATAAGGAGAAATTTTCTAACAGTGAGAACAATCAAACAACAGAATGGCTTGCCTTCGGAAGTTG